AACAGTTTTCTATTTTAAGATATTTTAAAAGGTTATGTATTCCTCTGAACCTTTTAACTATTGAATTTTACACTTTTTTTCAGCAAAAAAAATTATATATATATTCATATTCATATATATTTGCTGAATATATATATATATATATATATATATGTGTGTGTGTGTGTGTGTGTGTGTGTGTGTGTGTGTTTTCCCTGTGTCAGGAGTGACTGTGAAGTGAAATGATTGGCCAGCTGCTGCAGGCCACCTGCCTCCCCACACAGAGGTGACACAGTAACCGCAAGTCCTCCTGCTCCCTCCTGCCCTAACAAACATTCATTAATGACTGAACCACTGTCCTGAATTAGTAGCACACTCTCTCATTAACTGCCCAGAAAAGCAGCTCCCATTAATAAAATCATACAAAGTGGTCCTGTAGGAACATACAAGTGCTAACATACAACACAGCGAGAGATGTAAAAATATACATCTGATTTTTCAAGGGCAATTACTTGTTCAAAATACAGAGCACAGAGATGCACTGCAAAAATGTGTCCTTTTATGTCCTTAAAGGGATATATACAAAAATGGAAATTCTGTCATCATTTGCTCACCCTCATATTATTCCAAATCCAAACCTTTATGAATGTGTAGAAGGTATTGGGAAAAAATCCCATGTTTTGACATTTTCATTGTATGAACAAAAAAGTTTTGTGTGTGTGTGTGTGTTTTGCAGAAAAAAAGTTAGTCCTACAAGTTTAGAACGACATAAGGGCGAACAAATATTCATTTTTAGGTCAACTATCCCTTTAACAAATCTCAGGATACTTTGCTGGTTGTACAACATCTTCAAATTTTAATACAGTATTTTGCTTTGTAATGCTTGCTCAGATTTACTGTGCTGAATCAGGATTTTGCACTTTGTTGTTGCCTCAGCTGAAAATGGTCACATAAGATCATAACAAAACTGTCTCATGAATATCAATTCTTCCTAAATTATCCCTTATATTTCAATTAAACAAAATTATTCTTGGCATCCTTGCACGTCCAACCCCCATCAGCAATGGATTGTAAATGTCTTCCTCACAAGATAACCGCTTGATGCAAGGCCACTCGACAGTCTGCTGCAATCCTGTTTAGAGTTGAAGTGAGCTTTGGGCCATTGGCTCCTCTGAGCGGAGGACTTGGCAGAGCTTTCGATAGAAATGTGTGAGTGGGAAGCCACTGATAGTGTGAATCCCTTTGTAGTCAACTAGAAGAGCTTTATTGGTAGTGCACACTGACAGCTCAGGGGTGCAGAGTAATTCATTAGTTAAGGAAAATGCTTGCGGGTGGGGAAGAGACTGAGACAGAGAGAAAAAAGGGTTGGCTGTTTGGTACTATGGCATTAAATTTAATTATATCAAATTCTAGTTCCTTGTACGTCTTTAAAATCTGATCCAGATTAAATTGTATGTTGCAGAGATTTATGAAGAGCGTTTTCTGAATTTGTTTTTCCACCTTGCTAAGCAATGTTCAAGAAACCCATTGTCCCCTAAGGCTCTGTATTGATTCAACCACAAAGCTTAGCTAAGCAGAAATGTTCATGCATTCAGTAGATGTTTCGGCTTATTCTAACAGATGGAAAAATAGAAAGGGCTTTACAGCCTCATCATTTGTTTTCATACCTGTCTCTCAGTTTAATTAGCAGCGCTAACTGTCCCAATGTGTTTGGTAGCTGTACGGCTAACCAGATCACATGGCTTCTCGAGCATCTCTCTAGCTGAATCTGGCAGCTTTGCCACTGGAGATTGAGGGATCAGAGCATCTTAAGTGTGATTTCAGAGGCTGCAGGTGCTTCTGAGGTGGGGACACTTCTGATATTTGAGAAGTGTCTCAGCCAGGTCTCCTGAACTGTTAGAATCCAAACACAACTCTAGAACAATTGTGTGATGATCTAGTGTTCCCCACATTCTTGTGAGATGCCATATTTCAACACCAACTCATACAATAAAATCTCAATGACAACTTGATTTGAACTTGGTAATGGATATGACAATGTTAACGTATTTGGCCTTGGCGGAATAGATCTGCTACACTGCAGCTGTTGGTTATTGCTGTTGTTGATTATTGCTGCTGCAAAGCAAAAACAGGAACAAGCTAATGCCAATACCTACACCAAGCACAAGTAGCTTATATAATAACCCATAGCAGATCTATACAGGTGGAGCTGGGGAAGGTGAAGGGTTTCAGAGGAACTCTGACAGTGCGCTGCCAAATGCCAAGCAGTTTAACGCTGTGAATATCATCAGTTTCCCATCAGCCTGCGCCATCTAGTTTTATGACAGAACTTATATATAAGGGATGTAATGATTCACTCAACTCACAATTAACGATATTGATTTCCCAATACATTTTTTTAACAAAATGAGATTTAAGACAAATTATAAATGAAAAGGTGCCCTTTTATTATTTCTCAGACAAAATGCTCTTTGTGAAATGTAACCGTCAAATAACAAAACTAAATGTAATTTTGAAATTCCCGTTCAAATAAATAAATAACACAAATACAAGAAATCTCTTCATATAAACAAAATAAGATGCATTTTAAGATGCAACCACTGCATTTTATTCACGATAAAAACAGAGATGCTGCATACATGCAGCATGAGCATTTTTTTATTTAAATTAGATATAATTTCGAAATTTTCAGCAAAAACTGAATCATCTGACTTTAGCTTTGTAAAATGATATGTATAATTAAAGTAAATGATGAGAACATTTTCATTTTTGGGTGAACTATCCCTTTAACCTTGCCCCTTTTTTGTAGGCAAGTTCACTTAATCAGTCCCATTCATATGCGAAGGTCATTTTTATCATTTAGACAAACTGCACAAAAAAAAAATCACACATGTTGTTCCAATAGCTCAAACAATAAAGCATGCGCTCAAGGTCATACAACATCATGTTTCAATTCCAATACTAGTTGTTCTTCTTCCTCTGAAAGCAGCTGCCAAATGCATTGATATTGTTTTTTCCCCTTAAAATGGAACTGAAAAATTATGAAATTCATCATGATTAGTTAAGAAAAATCATCCATCATCTCTTTAGGATTCCAACAATAAATGATGTTTATAGCTTCATTTAAATGTATCTGATGTTCATTTTTAAATTATTAAAGATGTTCAATAACACCTCATAGTTGCCATTGTGAACGAAATTATCAACACGAACAAAAACCACTGGAAGCTCTCTGCTACCACTTCAAACATTTCCTCTCCTCTCCAGGGAAATGTAAAGTGCCTCTGAATAGCAGCACCTGGAGTCGGTCTACGAGGTCAGACTGTGTGGTCAATATCTCAATCAAAGCAAAAGAAAATTCCCCTTGGCTTTTATGTGCATAAAGTGGTTGCTTTTGAGGCTGCAAAAACTTTTCACTGGACAGGGTAGACTAATCAATATCCAGGTCTGCAGACACTGACTGTACAGCTCTCTGAAGAGGTCTTTTGAGTGTCCACATACAAACAAGACTTGTCACATAAAGCCAAGCTACAGGTCTGTCCAACCCCATTGTGAGGTACGGCCCAACTTTGAGGACAAAGGTAGATAATAAGTAAAGCAACCAAAGAGCTGAATGTTGCCACTGATTCAGAGTAAACAGGGCTGACTAGCAATAGCTCTGGCCAAGAGGGAGTTTTATTGCAGGGCTAGAGTTTAGAGGAAAACAAATGGAAAAGGGGGGCATTTGTGTACAATAGATTACAGCTTCACTGTACAACCATCATGTGTGTTTATATTAATGTACAGGCATGCATACATAACATATAGTGGGATCCAATACAGTATTGAATCAGTGGAACACACACACAGAATAAAAACATCCCATTATATAAGGTCATTCACATATGCATGTATTTCTAAAATGTATAATTATAACTAATGGTTTTCATAGCATAACTCTTCCACCCTCATATATACACATACACATTCATCCAGACACATTTCTGAATTATTAACACTAAGACTAAAACATTAATATGGGACACAAGCAGAGTTAATCACCCAAAAGCAAGTGTCTGAAAGTTTTAGTGAAATTTCAGTTGATGATTCAGTTTACAAACTGATACACCACCCCATTTAAAGTTATTGAACTGCTAATGTGTATGTATGTATGTATGCAGATGATCATTTGTATTATAGAAGTAGCAGAAATTATAATTCAAATATAGATGTGGTTGATGCTTCAAACAGAGAACACACTCAAGAAGCTTATTTTAGGTTCAGTATAAGCCACCCATGAAATTGAGAAAGACAGTGCTGTGAAAAATTGCTGCAAAATGTTTGGAGAATTAAAGTCCTTGTGTTGAAGCCTTCCTGAGTTTATTATAATGCTCATGGTTATGTTTTGCCAAGTATTTAAAATGACTAAAAATTACTTTATTAAAATTTGAAATGAACAAAATTAAAGAAATAATAATAATAAAAAAAAAAGTCATGAGCCTGCAAAAGATATCGGCATCTCGATCTTGTCATGGCTGATGTTGTCTCTACTGTATACAAAAATAAGTAAATAAATAAATAAATAAAATAGTCTCTATACAGTATATGTACTATATGATACAGACAGTATGTATATAGATGAATACATATTGCTTTCATATTTGCTATATAAAAAAGTACTCTGTTTAAATTATAAAAATAAATTTGCTCATAATACAGAAAAGAACTCTGGGATGGTAGCTGAAAAACTGGTTAGAGAATAGAGCTTGGAGATTTGATGATTAGTTGGGCATTATGCAAGAGAGTGAGTGTAATCAGAAAATCAGAGTTTACTAATCATTTCAAAATAAAATTAATAAAGGCTGCTGTACTTTTTAAGAAGCTAATTTTTACAAACAAACATACACACCAACTTACTCCGACATACACATTTAAAGGTAAAGAAATGAAAATTTGCTGACAATTTACTGACCTTCAGGGCTTCCAAATCTGTTCCAACATTACATCAATCGCTCATTCACCAATGGATCATCTGGTGAGTGGGTGCAGTCAGAATGAGAGTCCAAACAGCTGATGAAAAAAAAGCAATAATCCATAAGTGAATCCACATGACTCCAGTCCATCAGTTAACATCTTGTGAAATGAAAAGCTGTACATTTGTAAGAAACAAATCCATCATTGAGCATTTTAATTCGCTTCTGACCAAAATACAAGTTCATAGTCCATAATAACACTTCCTCTAGTGAAAAAGTCCATCTATTTCATTTTGGGTGAACTTTTCCTTTTAGTTGCCATTAAAGGTATACATCTTTAATGTAGTAAATGTAATACTGAATGAACGAATTTAATGTAATACAATTTAAGTTTTCTTTTTTAATGCATTGGTGGATTTAGTTATACATTAGCCTTAATGGACCAGAGCAGCAAAGCTTTAATTTGACTGGTAATTAATGCACCACTGATTTGGCGTGACCATAAGGGCTTGCACAGTTGACACCCCATTCACCTTGTATATTTGTGTGTGTATGTGTGTTTATTTGGTCAGGCTCAACGCCACCAAGGTCTCCAGATGTGTAGATAATTGGACAATTCTTAAAGGGAATGGAACCAATTAAGACTCGAAGCAGATAAAGCCTCAGTCTCCCTTGGCCATCAGATGCTCTCAGAATAAAAAAAGATTTAGTTCCACTCCCATTAGCATGGTGTCCTCATACTACAGTATATTTAAATAAACTGGAATATATGGCTCAAACATTTTACTGCACTATTCTACAAAAGTGATTGCTATTTATACATAACTGCTATAGAAACACGCAAAAGTCACATCACATACTAATGCCAGACTGAGTTTGTTTTCAATGCGTATTAGTGTTAAAGTTGTATTTACATCAACAGGCAAATCTTAAATATATCGCATCATAACAACAAGCTGTTGCATTGACAATCTCAGCAGGGAAGTAAAATTATTCCTCGTGGAAATGAGTGAAATCTCCTCTCGCCCGCCTTGTGTCTCACAGCAGGCAGAACACATGATATATTTCATATGTGATTTACACAATTTAACTTTGATAGAAGCTCCACGGGCAGCTAGTACTCCACTTAAGAATTCATTCCAGTCTTTCTGCACTAGCAATGATATGCTAGCTAGCTAATTTGCCAAACAATAAATCAAGAGCTGACAGTTTTACAAAACACCAACAGTGGAAAAACTTTGCAATAAGCAGGTCTGTCACTTAAAGTTCCCAAAGTGAAATCTGCAATTTGGTATCTGCATGCTTCATCTATCATATTTAAGCCAGACGTCTATTAGTGCGCTGTAACTCGTTGGAGACAAGCTCTCATCTAATTGCCCTCACCCTTAAGTGCTTCACATCTCTGATGACAGCATAGCCATCTGCATTTTAATGTGCTATCATTATAAAATAAATGGTGTGAGGTCCTATATGCTGCTGAGTTTGTCTGAAGTCAGTTTGAGTTGAATTCTTGACAGCTATTGATAGACCAAAATTAATAATAAAAATCATTCTTGGCTGAAACCAAACCAAAAATTGAGGACATTTCGGGCCAAAAAGCCAAAGTTCTTATTTTAGATTGACCTTTGTTTTGATTGATTACCAGTATATATACTACTACTTTTATTCTGCAAGAAAGGTGTCAGTAAAGAAAGACATTGGAATAAATTATATTTAAAATATAAAAGCAGATATTTTAAGTTTAACTAGTTTTTGACTCAAAAACACCCAAAATTGAGGTTTTGCTGTACCTTTAAACTCATGTAAATACATTTGAGATAAGAACTGGGTACTTGATGTGTGTTTACATGAAAATATGGTTTTAAAGATTTAAGTTGCTTTAGAGTTCTCAACTAGAAACTTGCTTTCAAAAACTCTTCAATCATTAAAATCTTCCCAGAGATTTGCATAAAGAAACAAAACTAGCCTTAGTGTCTTTAGGTATTACTTCAAACTGTCCTACATTTTAACATGTTGGTCTGTGCAGTGAAACGAACTGATAGGTTGTCTTGGCTTTCTCGACAAGTGCTACCAACTCCAGTATCCATTTCCCCTGCTGCAGCCGTTCGATGACAGCTAGCTAAACTACATGGTGATCACCATCCATCACAGGGGTCCACGGTTATAATTCTGTGTTCTATATCCCTGCTTTTCATTACTCTGACTTACGAAGTGAAAAGGGAGGCAGCGTTGAACGATCCGTGCTGTTAATTCTCTCGTCCGGTGCTCCTTTATACCCTGTTCTCTCCATCATCAAAGTAATTACAGTTCCCGTTTTCCCAAGCTGAAGGTGTAAAATTCAATCAGCAGTCAAGCAAATTTAAATCCCCAGCTCCGATATGTAGAGGCAACAGAGCACACATTATTGATTTATCTGTTAAGCCCCTTTTTGCTTGCTGTAACACTGCGTGTGCATAACTACATAGCTATTCCCTTCCTATTCCCTTCATTTTCAAAACAATAAATTATGCACTGTGCAAAGCATAAAACAAGCAGTTTTTACTGCGCTCGATCAGTATTTCAAGGGTTTTTGACCATAAGTCCTGGTTAAATGCTCTCTCAGGTACTTTTTAAAATTTATGAATATTTTATATTAAAATTACATGTAACTATTGGGTTTTTGTGCAATAGAAGGTAAAATTTTCCAAAATGATATTCAATAACTCATTACAAAAGTACTGACAATACAAATAAGTGTAGCATGATTTTCCAGTATACTAAACAATATAGTGGCTGGTGTAAGTAAGTAGGTAAGTAAATAAATAAATAAATCTATATTCTTTACTTGAAATAATAACATAATATACAAATTAACTGAAATAAAATAAAATATATATTAAAAAAAAAAAAAAATTTTCAGCTAGTTTCCAAGGCAAAATATATAATTTTAGTTCAATTTTAATTAAATTGAAGTACTACAATAACTAAAACTAAAAACAAAACAATAAAAATTTAGATAAAAAAGACACACACACAATTACTATAACTAAAAAATAAAATGAAACCAGAAAATATATAAGAATAGTAGTATTATAATCATCATGTCAATTGATGAGCTTGTTATGGAGTGAGCAAAGTGTTAAGTTTAAATCTTTTTAATATAACAAATACAGTATTAGCAGCACATACATTATTATTGTGAGTTATAACAGTATAGTATTATACTGAGTTCTAACGGCAAAGAGACTTGTCAGGAGCAGACTGCTTACCCCATTTTTTGAATGCTGACAGATAGCACAAGTAAGAGGGGGTGGACAAGTATAACAGGGAGCTGGATGGAAAAATGTTACCCGATAGGTCACAACTCATTTTCAATGAAAAGGGTGAGCGTAACAGAGAGTGGGCACAACCTTATGAAACTGCTGTGATGAAGTGAAATGCATTTCTTGCAAGAAATGCCCCATGCCGCCCTAAGCGACTGCCTAGCCCATGTCTGGAAATCTGTTTGACACCGTCCATCCCTATGAACTTCCAGAATAAAACAAAAGAACATGTTAGAGATTCAGAGATTTTCCTGCTTTTGCATTTTGTGTATATATATATATATATATATATATACATATAAATGCATACATACATTGACCAGCTGACAAATACCCAAATGCCCTTAGAATGGTTTAAGCTGGTTTTCTCAACAAGAATGCATGACAAAAACCTGTTTATCCCTAAACATTGTCAGCTAAACTGCATTTAAGTAGTTGAGGCTAATGTTGTTGTATTGCTAAAATAAAGTGCATTCATCTTCATCTCTCTCTCCCTGACAGATTCATTTAGGAGAGGTGTGGTGTTTGAGGTGTCGTGTTTTTTGATTCTTCCTGTGTACTGTATGTCTGCCAAGGCAAAAACAATGACTCATCCCGCATGTCTCTCCTGTTACACTGTTTTTCCATTTCCAAAGCCCATATTCCTGCTCAGCTTACAGAAGAGGAAGACTGTCAATTGCCATGTAAATAATATTACCGTCCTTCTCATTTGCAGGTATTACTCAGCATGATATTGAGAAAATAGAATTTACTCGTGCCTTATTTTTAAATTCAGTTAAAAAAGGAACAATCCATTTTTATTTTAAGCAACATATTTTTAGAATTAAAAATCATCCACTTAAATATTTTTTTCTTTACAATAACAAAATATGCAATACAATAGAAATTATACAGCTATAATTACATTTTAACTGATAAACACACAACTAGATAATTATAATTATATACTAGAGCCAACTAGATAATTATATTTTTGGTGACAAACCATTAGAATTTGCAACAACAATGTAGAACACGTTACGGGAAAAGCAAACATTTATGTTTGCAAGCCATTAACACAAATTATATACTAGAGCCAACTAGATAATTATATTTTTGGTGACAAACCATTAGAATTTGCAACAACAATGTAGAACACGTTACGGGAAAAGCAAACATTTATTTTTAAAAGCCATTAACACAATACTGGATCTCTTTTTTTTTTTTTTTATTATTATTATTATTATTGAGACCTCACTAAAAAGTTACAGCACTTTCACTGGGGCAGTATCCTTTCAAAAAGGTTTTAATATGTATACTTCACACACTAATATGTAATTTGGGCTACTAATATGTGCCATTTATATGTACTGTATAAAGATACCTTTTACAGCTTCATAACGTTTTTTTCTGCATGTAAGTGTAATTTTTTACAAAACTAAAGGACTAGTTGGAATTATTTCCTGTTGTAATCAACATTAAGGCACAAATGCTGCTGATTAAGCTTAACTTTGTAACCTGAAACATTACATTAAGAGGTTTTTACATATCTAAAATTAATACCCTCCACTTTTGTGAGAAAAATCTAAACTAAGTGCTATAAATTCTAAGACAGTTTGGCTCACATCCAGCACAAAAGTGAAAAAGCAAAACAGAGCCTGAAAGGATTAATAAATGATCTACTTATAGAGCCCCTTTCAGTATATGTTTGTCTTAAAATTGTCTCTTCAGCGTGCCTGTGCTGCTGTTCTCTCAGAAGGAGAGCCTGTGAATCTGAGCCCATTACAGCTCTGTGCTGTTGATTTACTACAGTCCTGACTGAGAGCGCCACACGCTTCTGTGTGTGCAGGCACGTGTTGCACTCCACTGATACATGGCCAGCTGTTTGCCCATGATAAGGCCTTTGCAAGGAGAGGGAAGAACCATAGAGAATTCCATTAATCTAAGAAAAGCAGTGCTCTCTGCTGGTAAGCCATATCAGTATAGAAAGAAACATCTTTCATAGGGTTACATCTATGAAATTGAGTCATAGTTTAGATACTGATACATATAAGTGGCCCTCACTGCGATTACACTGAAAACGTAATCTAGTTAGATTGTGTCAAGATGGAGTACTAGTCAATGGCCCCAGCAATAAATAATGTTATTGTTTTCATTGTCTTGATCCTTGTAACCTCTAATAAAAGAGGTTATGGCACCAAAAATTTGTGAAACTTCACACAGGTGATCAGACAGCTTATTAATTGTAGTATTTTATAGTACTTTGTATAATATGTGTCTATATTGCTGGGAATATAGACACATATTATACAATATAATATGTGTCTATATTCCCAGCAATATAGACACATATATTGGTGTCTATATTGCTGGGAATGTAGACACCAATATATGTGTCTATATTGCTGGGAATATAGGTGATCAGACAGCTTATTAATTGTACTATTTTATAGTACTTTGCATAATATGTGTCTATATTGCTGGGAAATAGTTATATACAAAATAAGAATCAAAGATGAAGAAATGATAATTTAATAAAATAAAATAAAATAAAATATTGATGACATGACAACTTGGTGGTACATTTAGGGCCCTATGATTTCCGCAATGTGGAAAACAGGGACGGAATTGCAGAATACAGTCAAAAAATTTAATTTACTGTATAAAGAAGAATGTCATGGAATTTGCCAATTTTTGAATGAATAAATCAAAAGTCAGTACACTTAAATCTAAACGCGATATGGACTAGTGTGTGTTAATATTAAGCTCTAAAAACACTGTTTAAATATGAATCCTGCATGTCTCTATATCGTCATATCATATAAACAGAGAAACTTAAAGCCCTTCACAACAACCTGTCAAAATAAAAGTTCGGTTTAACTTGAAGAAACTGTGACAGAAATATATTGATAATGACAGTACTACTACTAATAAAAGTATTATTAAAACATTATTTTGAAGGAATATTTAGCAGAAAAAAAATATTTACAAGAATTTATTTATAAAACCATTAAAACAGAATTCAGAAAATTAATGGAACACTAAATTTGAGGGGGAAAACATATTTCACAGGGTCTTAAAATGTAATTTTTGTTAAACTTTTAATAAATTGCTGTTAAACTGTAAGTTTCAAGATTTGTTGAAACAAGCTGTTCCTGTGTGAAATCTTGAAACTTACAGTTTAACAGCAATTTATTAAAAGTTTAATAAATGATGAAATATGTTTTCCCACTCAAATTTAGTTACATTTCTACCAAATTCTGTGTTCCATTAATTTTCTGATTCAAGATTTCCATTAATTAGACATGCTTTTGATTAATAAAATTTAAATGTAACCATTAAAACAGAGTCTGGAAATATTAAAATGGAAAAAAAAATGGAATCCAGAAAAATTAAAACGGAAAAAATGAAATTTGGAAAAAAATAAAAGGGAACTTGGGAAATAGGGAAATAGGGCACTAAACATTGGTGTCTATGAGTGATATAATTCTGGAGTTTAAATCTCAGAAATGTAAAATTGTCTCTGTTTATCAGCTGATACACATAAGCCACTGAGGCACATTTTATTTTGTGATTTGATTAACTTGACCTGTACTGTACAGCGGGAAGAAACATTTTGTCATGGATAGTTCACATTCCTGCTATGATACTGACAGATAGCAGCTGAAGTGAGAGGGGGCTGAGAGGTATAGCACAGGAAGCTGCTCTGACAATTTTACTCGGTAGGTCACAGTTTATTTTCAATAAGTGGGGTGAGTGAAATGGGTACTATTCCTTGAAACTGCTGCGATGAGTGATAAGATGCGGAGTGCACATCTAAAAGCAGACAGTCGAGAACGTAGCCACCATAGGGAACTACTATATCACCTATGCCAGGATCCAGCACTGTTAGTTAGGATCAAGAAGCACTCTATAATACCTGGAGAAAGCTATCTGTTAGCATTACCAATCATCTCTGATACAGTTGCTTGGCTAGAGCACAAAGTATTTCTAGACACAATTGTTTTTGAGCATCTGTGCCATAAATGCCATGAAAGTAATAACTCCAGAGTTGAATAAAAAACGGTGTGACATGCTCATGCTGACAGATTTGTCCTTTCAGTTAAGGGAATTTTTAAGATATTGATCTTTTAGCAAAGAAAAAGAAAGAACAGTAGAACAGTTTAGCAGCTGAAAAGCTAAATGTTGCTATGGAAAGTATTACACAGTGATTAGAGCAATCGTGTCTTACCTTGAACACTGGTAAAACAAAAGGGATGTTTTTTTCTAAAATGAATGCGTGTTCTTCCAATGCAGATAGTTTTATAAATGGTGAAAAGTTAGCAATTGTTACTGAGTTTAATTATCTTGGTTTAACGCTGGATCCAAATCTTAGTTTTAAAAAACATGTAAAGAAATTGGTAAGGACTATAAAATATAACTTGATCAATTTTAGACAAATTAGACAATGTCTACCCACTGATGTAGCCAAGACTTTTATGCATGCTACAATCTTTTCTCATCTGACATACTGTCTGACATGTTGGGGTCAAGCAGGGGAAACTGTTATTAAACCTTTAAAATCTCTTTATAAACAGACCAATATCACCACTGTAGGGTTTTGGAGAAATAACATTTTTTGAGCTTTGATAATTTTAGACTTTTCTCAAATTTGTGTATGGTATATAAAATTTTAAATGGTTTAGCCCCTTCTATACTTCGTGGTTTTGTCCATTTTCGCTCTACAGTCTCTGTAAGATCTACTAGATCATCATCTA